CATTTTCTCTTGGTTTCCCAGCAGACTAGATTCAATGTAAGGGGAGTAGAAGGTGCTCTCAAACCATGTCTCCACCATAGTCTGGGGGTTATGACGTGTTGTTGGGATAGTTTAGACTGGGCATGTCTACACAAGGCATTTAACATGCATTGGATTAATTCTACTGTGCATTAGTGCGGTTGGCAAAAACCATGCTAATGCACTAATTTGCAGTAGTTTTAGTCCAATGTGCATTAAGCATCTCACAAATAGTGCTTGTCACAACCCAAGGGTGTGATTTTGTGTGTGTGTGCTTCGGCACTGCTAAATTATTTCCCGCCACGAGGAGCTTTCTTTGCAAGGTGCATTTCTCAGTTGCAAAGAGAAAACCCCAGTGCAAAGAAGTTCCCGCCACCCGCATGCAAATTTGTGTCCCACTATTGGCCAGTTCTAAATTATTCCCACGTGGCGGCTAGTGATTGGCTTGCTAGCCGTATAAGAGGCTTGAGCGGTTTCCGCCCAAGTTGGAGAACTCCAAGGAGAACCCCACAAGGGAGGACTCCACAACCATCTGGAGGAGGAGGAGGACTTCACGTCTTGTGAAGAACTCTAGGCGCTGCGGAGCCTATCGAACCCAGTGCGTACCTTAAGAAGGCTATAGGGGTCTGATCAACCTCTGGCCTCTCCCCGTCGCCGAGCGCGATCCCTCGACGAACCCCTTCCCTGCGCGCAAGTTCCACAGAGCCTAGCAAACTTCGTGTGAGTGTATCCAGAGCTCTTCTCCGAGTTGATTTCTTCGGTTGACACGACAGGCTCACGTTTTTAGAGCCTTCAGCCGGATTGGGCTAGAGGTTCGCGTGGAAGGAACTCTTGTCCACTTTTCTTCTTTCCTGTCTGTAACTGCAACTCAAGCAAGTTTTCCTGCCTGCACTGCGACCATCTACGGTGTAAGTAAAATAATCTTTAATCAACTGCTAAGCATCCGTGCCTAATTCTAGTCCGCTGGCCTGCATTCCCCGACCCACGTGCCAGGGCTGCTGGCCACAGCCCGCCGCGCGCCCCCGAGGGCCTCAGACCGCTCCCGGCCTGCACAGTGCTCATCTGCGCTACTGTGCAGTAGCATTGATTATGGTGTCTATTTTTCCAGGTACTAACTTAATGCGCCGTAATTATGGTGCCTTAAAGAATATGTAGACAGATCCAGTGAGTCTGGGGAGAGTGCTTTAACCACTAGGGAGAGGAGGAAGAACTTTATACCTATACATGTCTACTCAGGTCAGATGTTCAGTTAAGCTGTGTTTGCCTTGAGTTTAGGAGGAAGTAGAGTTCTGATAGGTTAACCTTAATACAGGTTAACATTAACATTCCCCATTGAAATGAATGGAAAGGCACATGCCTAGGTAACTGATGAGGTGTCTAAGTACTTCCAGTTGAAATGAGTGGAAGAGCTGAATTATACAACTTGAAATATGGAAATAAACCTTCAAAACCAACACAATACAAGGTGGTCTTGTGCTAAATAGGGCTAGATAGATCATTTTTAGCATCTCTTTGGGCCCAGAAGCTACCAGCAGCATTTCTAATCTGCCTTTTATCTTAGTTCGTAAATACTACTAATGGCTAAACAGCCAGACAGGATGCACTCGTCTGCATTTGCTACCAACTGGGTAGCACTGGTAGTTGCGGAAGCAGAGGGATAGGCCCACAACATAATCTTTCATTTGCCAGGACATTCTCCTGCTGCATAAAAATCTCATTTTATTTTTTTCTTTAAAAAGCATGTGGTGTTCCTTAGTCTTACTCTTCTTCAGTTCCATGTCAACCTCCTGCCCCTTCCAAAACCCACCATTCTGTCCTGCATCATGGTCTCCTCCTTGTGATCCCTATTTTCTTTGAACATTCCTTTGGGTGAGGACCCATATTATGTTAATCTAAATCAGTGGTTCTCTGCCTTTCAGTCAGGGCACCCTCTGCAACGGTTTGGAATTTGGCAGTTCCCTTGGTTGAGAACCACTGTCTTGCTACCTCTGCTTACTGCAGTGCTCCTCAACTAGGGTGCTGCCACATGCTCCTGCCTATATTAGGGTTTTCCAATAAATCTAAAGCAGGCAGGAGCAGATGCATAACTGGTGAGTTTTGAACTCTGGACAAAACTCCCCTATACCCCTAGGAGGTGGGGTGGGGGAAAAGAAAGTGCCTTACCTGCCTTGGTTGTCCCCACACCCATCTCCTCCAGCCAGGTGATGCACATGGCTGCACCAGCTAAGCCGGGTTTCTGTCTGAGCAGTGTAAAGGGCTGTTGCAGCCTAGCCTGGGTCCTCCAAGGTGGGTTGGTGTGTGGCTGGAGTGTGTACTCTTCTCACTGCCCTTCCTGATCTGATCCTGCCTACTCCTTCTGGAAACAGAGGGGTGCAGGACACTCCCACCTGTCCAGTATGCCTCTGTTTCTAAGATAAATGTAATGGGTGGGCCAAGGAAGGGCTTCAGGAAGAGCATGGACTCCAGAGTCAGCTGCTTCCTGATTTGCCTCCACAGGAGACATGTCAGGCATTTCACTCTGGCTGTACTGTTATCTGTGTTGCAGCATCCCTGGAAGGGTCTTGAGGCACCCCAGGGCACCCAATCACCTTGTTGAGAGCCACTGCTCTAAGTTTTATTTCATAATAAGGAGCAGACACACAGCCAGTTGTCCCAAGCTGGCTGTCCACAATAGAGATTCTTATAGTTAGGGACCTACCCCAATCATGATTGTGCGGATTTTCCAGAAATCATTAAATTGGGTGATCTCTATGAAATTTGGGAGGGGGGAGAATCCTTACTAAAAATAAAATGCTGGCTCCCCAGTGGAAGCCAGCAATCCTCCCAGCTGTGCAGCCCTTCCAGGGAAGGTGAAGGCAGGATGCCTTTATGAAGGTGAGCAAGCAAAATAGCTGTACTTTTCCGCTAATTGTCTGAGAGGTTTGCCTGTTAGGCAGCCCTGCCCCGCTCCACCAATCAGCAGCAGGGGTGGGGTCACATGTCAGACAGCCCTCTCCACCGATCAGTGCGGGGCAGGGCCACTAGGGCGCCATAGCCAATCAGAAGTTTGGGGGCGGGCGAGTCCTGGCCATGATAAGCCCTCGAAAATAGCAGCCAGCCATGATCTGCCCATGAAATCGGCTGGCTGCCTCCTCAAGGTGGGTATTGGCACCTAGCCATTAGATGGTGGGAAGTTGGTTTGTATTGGGCACGTGGCTACCCTGAGAATTAAATTGGGCGCACAGTATGCTTCATGTGGTAACATATTCAGGTGTAGTTCAAATGATTTACCAGGGCCATATGTCTGTTGTACTTTAAGTATATAGTAAATGTGCTGTGCCCCTGGATTGCATGCGTCTTGGAGCAGATCCTGTTTGAACTGGATTGAGCACATGTTTAGATGAGTAACGCTTACGCATTTTACACTGTTTTAGCCCATTGAAGTAGCTTTGTTTGCTGCCCTTCTGTCTTATTCTGACTGTGATAGCCTGAAACAAATGTTATAGGGCAGGGGTGGACAATTGTTTTGGGTGGAGGGCCACTTACTGAGTTTTGGCAAGCTGGCAAGGGCCACATGGGTAGCCCCACCCCTTGACAGGTGACCTGCCCCCTGGTCGCCATCCTCTGACTAGAAGTCCTGCCCCTTAACCCCTGACCTTTGCCACCAGAAGTCCCTCCCCTTAACCCCAGAAGTACTCCTTTCAGCAAGGGGTTTTGCCATCTCAGAACTAGGAAAATACCAAATTATATTTGAAAAAGTGAACATCTAAAACATTAATTAATTTGATTTCAAAAAATATTTTTTCCTGGTTTACATGTGTTTGTGTAGTGTACATAGAGGTGATTGTATATAAGAGCTTAAAATGAAATCTTACTCTTGTATATTCTGGGGGAGGGGGTATAAGCTTGTGGTGGGGTGTGGGTCTTTCTGGTGCAGGGAGGGTGTGGATGTGTGTTGGGGAGTGATGGGGTGGATAGGTATGTGGGGTGAGGGAGCATGTGTGTGTGGATATGTGGGGTGTGGGTGGGTATGGGATATGTGGGGGCCTGTGTGTGGTGGAGGGTGGCTGGGGTGTGTGAGGGGGTGTGGGGGTCTGCCTGTATGGGGGGGTGAATGTGTATGGTGGGGTGTGTGTGGGGGACTCACCCTATGAACACACACACACACGGGTACTGGCACTGGTCTATGATGCCCAGTCCCGTGATGCAGCCAGGAGCCATGTGGTGCTCGAGCAGTGTGGGGCCAGGAAGGCAGGGAAATGGCTGGGGATGGGGCATGGCTGGGCTGCTTCCTTCTGCTGACAGCTTCCCCTGGATCCTAGTGCCCCTGGCTCCTTTCAGCTTTGACATGTAGCCAGGAACAGATAAATATTTTCTAATTTTTTTAGGGGCCCCGTGGGCTGGATAGAATAGCCTCACAGGCTGATTGTGGTCCACAGACTGTATTTTGCCCACCGCTGTTATAGGGTGTCTATACACATGCAGTGAGGCTGCTCCAACATGCTGTAATTACAGCACATTGGAGAAAACTCAATTAATTGCGTCTGCTGGGATGTAGTAATTACTGGGCTCCAGCAGCCTCCAGCATCACATGTATCAGCATCCCCACACTGAAAAATGGTGGCAGGGGTGCTTTAACCAAAGCTTGTCAAACAAGCTTTAGTTAAAGTGCCCCTTCCACCATTTTTCAGTGCGAGGACACTGATATGTGAGATGCTTCGGGTGCTTTAATTAGAGCAGCTCTCAGAGCCACTCTAATTAAAGCTCTCCCTCACCTCCCCTTCCCCCATTCCTGGAGCACGTGTATGAATGCCTACTTTCTTAACTCTTGACTAGATAAAAAATTGCAACTGAGTGAAAATTGCAACTGGGTAGTGAGTGCTATAATTTTGCTAGTGTGAGATGCAAACTGATTCCTGAGAGTGGCCTAATACGTCCTTAAAAAGTCTTGGTCCTGTTCTTGTACAGATGAAAATATTTAACCCATGTCAAATCTCTTTTAGGAGGAGTAACAAACACTGCGCAATACCAAAGCAGGCTAATGGTGTATGATCCAATGCAGGTGGGTTTTGTGTTGTAGGTGTTTGTATATATGTATTTTGCATGAACATTTAATACAAATATGTATTAAAGGCTACCAGCAGGGAAAAAACAAAACAAAAATACAGCTATAGTTCAAATTGGTATGGTTCTCCCCCCATGCCCTACTGCAACAAATGAGATCTAGAGAAGTGAAAGAGGGAATTGGGCCCACTGTCTTAAAAAAAAATCCTTAACTGTATTACTAGGAACAACTGAGGTTAATAAAACTGCAAACGTGTAAAACATCACTTATCATTAATGTACCTATCACCATTTCTTCTGCTTGTTCACTTTTTGCAACTGATTAGCCTCAGGCAATGCAAACAAACTTCCTGTTGGTGTCACCGGGTCCTGGAATGTTAGCACCGGGGTAGCAGGATTTGTGCGGCACATAATGCAAGAGAGTGCTGACACTCTGGCATCTTTTCACTGACATTCATACTTTCTTTTTTTTAACTCCATGATAATAGTTCTGTTCATGTTCAGTTTGGCAACAATTTTCCTTCCTGCAAAAAACATAATGTTGGACCCACAGTTTAAAATGGCCTTTGAAATTGGTTTGTTGAAAAACAATCCATTTCACAGATTAAGTTATTTAACGAAAAAGAAAAAATAAGTCCCATCCTTGTAGGTATTGGTATTATGTGCATCACTTTATTAATCCAAGCCCCTAAAATGTCTTATAGGAATTATTTCATGCATTATGTATGTGGGTTTGATTAGGTTAGAGTTCTTTAGCAGCAGTTTCAGAGGCTTATGGCAGTTATATGGTCTTGTATTAGAAAACAAAGGCTGCCTATACACATGCTCAGAGGTGGAGGGAGAGGGGGGAATTGATTAGAGGGGTTCCCGGACAGCCACTCTAATTAAAACGTGTCACTATCATGTATATTAAGCCCCTGCACGTTTAAAAATGGCCACAGGACACTTTAGCTAAACCTCATTTAACGAGGTTTAGATAAAATGCCCTGTGGCCATTTTGAAACGTGGGGGCTTAATACACATGACATCACAGCGACACCGGGGCATTCTAATTAGAATGTGGAGCAGACTCGATTAATTGAGTCTGCTCCAACACGTTCTAATTAGAACATCAACAAGCACATATATAGACAGCCAAAAGTCCTAATCCTGCTTCACTTTACAGTCAGGTGGAAGATTCTTGACCTTCAACTGCAGGAGATGTGCCTTGTGTTTTATATTTAAAACTAAATTTTGACAGCAGGTATTTACACATGACTCCCATTAACTTCACCTACTGTGCCTGCATTCAAGAACAGAATACGAGCTCCAGCAATCACAAGTAACAAGTGATTTTTTTGTTTGTTTAATTATACAGTTTTAGGGATAGAACATGGTATTTATTGGTTAGACATATAGGGCATTTATACATGTTCTCCGGGAGTGGGAGGGATGCTTTGATTACAGTGGCTCTGAGAGCTGCAAAAATGGCAGCAGGTGCACTGAAAAGTGGCAGCAGGAGTGAAATGAGCTTTAGTTAAAGTGCCCCTGCTGCCTTTTTTCAGCATGAAGATGTTGATACATGTGATGCTGGAGTTTGCTGGAGCGCAGTAATTACCACACTCCAGCAGACTCAATTAACTGCATCTGCCCTGACTTGCTGTAATTGCAGTGCATGGGAGCAACCTCGCTGTATACATATAGGCGCCCATGAAGTTTCATTCTAAATCCACATGCTCATGATTCAGACTTGTCATTTTCACATGTTGTTCCCTGTTTGGTATGTGTGTGTGTGTGTGTGTGCGTGCGTGCACATGTGTGTATCTTGCATAGATTTGTTGAGTTGTTGGTTTGTTTTGAAAAGTTGCACCCCAGAATGTAAGGACTCAGCTACCACCATAGAACTTGCTAATTGCAAAAGCCCAAGTCTGAAACAGAAATAGTTAAAGAGGGGAGAGCGTGTTAGCATTCTTCAAATGAGGTCTGCTTCATGTTTGTACACACATGCTCTTTTTAAAAATTCTGCTGGCATATTGTTTACGGTGGGTACTGGAAAACATCACATCTGCTTGCATCTTGCACAGAATCTCAATAACTCTATCATTCAGCACTAGTGCTTGTTTCTGCGCTAGGCCTTTGTGGAAAGTCGATAATGCCTGCCATCTGCCACAGAGCACACAGCTACCTGCCAACAAGCAGGCGAGGTTGACCTCTGCTTCCCCACCACTGATTAGTATTCACACACTGACTTATTAGGAACGACCCCACCAGGCCCCTCTGTTTCTTTGCCTTTGCAGTGCTTTGCAGCTCACCTGGCAGGCACCGCAGTGGAGGAAACTAAAGATATAATCAGGGAATGCGGGCTAGCTTTGCAAAGCAGATGGTGTCTATAGTCTTGTGTCAAGGGACTGGAGTCCTAATGCAAAAATTAATTCCTAATATTCAACTATTATCCATTGTAATGTATAGCTATATATTGTAGAGCCCAAAAGGCAGTGTTATTAGCATGTATTGAGTTACACCAAATTATGGGATATATAATATAAGGAATTGCCCAAAAGATTCCTTAACTTCCTTTTCTATAATACATTCATCTTTGTTTGCTGGCAGGTAATTTTATCTTTAAAAGTAGCAGGACCAGTTGTTTTATGACCTTTAAAATGCCATGGTATTTTATCTCCTCAAAAAGGAGGAAACCCCTTGCATCTTCTTTTTTCTTCCTTCCTCCTTCCTTGTTAATATATGTTCAAAATTGCTCTTAAATGATCCTTTCAAAAGAAAACAGATCAAAACATATTGAGGAGTAAAGTAAAACTAAGCATGCTGCTAGGTTGGCAAGAAGGTACAAAAATTGTTTAATATTTGTACTTATTCCTTCACTTCTGAAGTATAAAGCCCACTGAATTTTTGAATGAATGGGGGAAACCCCTGTCTCTTCCAATGAAGACACACATCATTGTTCAAATTTCCAGTGCTATAAAGCTCAGAGGAGAGATCAAATACTTTGCTGTCGAAGCACTTCAGTTTTGTTTTTCTTTTCTTTTTTTTTAAATAGTGAAACAAGGAGAACAATTTCCAAAACTTACAGACTTTCAGAAACAGTGCAGTGACTTCTTCAGTGCAGATACATTTATTTTAACATTTTATTGGAACAGTTGATAAGTAATTTATACTGTTGCTCAAAGCTTTCTCCCAATTAAAATCTGTCCATGAGAAATTCAGATTCACCATATGTCAAGAAATTTATTTTAGAACATATTGAACATCCTTATTTCATTTTCTATTCCAAAACCAAAGTTCAGAGGAGTTTATAGTCAAAAGTTAATGTGTTTAGGGCTGCCAAAACAGACTGTTGTATCTATGAGAGAAAACAGACCCTTAGCTCAGTGTTCTCACTTCATATCACCATTTGCTTTTCATGTTTCATCTATGTAAGAAATAAACATTGGACTGTTTGTTTTGGTTGACCCTTTTTTTTTCAATTGAGCCAGCAATGTCTAAAGTGTAACCAAAGAAAATATTTGCAACTAAATTGCAAAGAATGAGAGAAGCTCTCCCAAAAGAGCAATAGTAAATTACAGCACAAGAAAGATTTTCGTAAGATCTGTCAGGTCGGCTGTGGGCATTGAAGGCTAGTACCTCCATTGGACTAACTTGCCTCTAGCGATCTCTTTCTGCATGATTTGTGGGTGGGCAGAAAGAGAAATACAGTGGGGGGGTGTGTGTGTGCGTGCGTGTGTGTGTGTGTGTGTGTGTGTGTGTGTGTGTGTGAACATTGCTGAGAATACTTTTTGTTTTTGTTTCTAGAATAAGTGGCTGAGCCGCAGCCCCATGTTGCAGAGGAGAGTGTACCACTCCATGGCTGCTGTCCAAAGGAAGCTTTATGTTTTAGGTGGGAATGATCTGGACTATAATAACGATCGAATTCTCGTACGTCACATAGACTCTTACAACATTGACACCGACCAATGGACGCGCTGCAGCTTCAACATGCTGACAGGCAAGTCTGTTTGCCAGAATATACTGGGAAAAAAAAAAAAGTTAGGTTGGGAGGGGGGGGGGGGTGAGGTGAGTTTTAAGGGGAATATGTAGAACTGAAAAAATACCATATCTGCCCAAATCCAAGATAGTTTTGAATTTAAGACTAGCCCCCAAGAATTAGATTCTGTACTTGGAAAACATACATGTCTTCAGAGGGGGCATGGGTAGCAGGGGGCCTAGACAACACATGAGGGAGACACGGACTTGAGGGGCACAGGCATTAGATATCATACATGGAAAATGTTTTAGATGGAAATGTATTAGGGCTCCTATACACATGCAAGGAGCCCACTTCAATGTGCTGTAATTCAAGCGTGTTCGGAGCAGACTCATTTAATTGAGCAGACAGATTAATCAAGTCTGCTGGAGCAGGGAAATTAACACGCACCAGGAGCTTCCAGCATCACATGCACATGTCCCCGCACTGAAAAATGATGGCAGGTTGCTTTAAACTAAAGTTTGTTCAACAAGTTTTAGTTCAAAGCACCCTGCTGCCATTCTTCAGCACAGGGACACTGATACACGTGATGCTCCAGCCACTTTTAATTAGTGTGGCTTTCAGAGCTGCACTAATTAAAGTGTCTCCCCCCTCCCCCCCCCAGTGCTTCCCAGAGCCCGTGTATAAATGCTTTTAGATTCTGTATATGGAAAATGTAGAATTTTGTTATAATTTTCCGTGTCTAGAATCTAATTATTGGATGGTTGTCTTAAATTCATACCCCTCACTGTTACAGCAGGGAAAACAATTGTGGGCAAGGGGGCAAACAGCCTGACACCAGTCCCTTGCCCCTTCTGCTGGTGCCCCTCCACCACTCATCTCCTCTTCTTGTCTTCCCCTAGTACCAGCATGTCCCAGTGTCTGCCTGAACCCCCCTGCTGCCTGTGCTTCTTTCACCTACTCCCCACCACCTCTGCCCTTCAATCATAGGTTTTGCTGGCAGCAGATCTGGCCCTGGGATGCTAGAGCTGCCTCCACCCCTGCCCATTTTGGGGCTGGAGCTATCACATGCTCCATGCTATGGGTCGGAATGGGGCCTGAGCCATGACTGATGGTAAGTGGGGGGACAGGAGAGGCAGAGCGTGTAGGGGTACAGAGGTTACAGGGACCAAGTAGGGGGGCAGAGGCTGCAGTGGAGGCAGACAAAGGTGGGGAGGGGAGTAGGAGCTGCAGCAGCTGCTGGCCCTCCTCCTTCACCTTGTACTCTAATCCAAAGTGTGAGGCTTTTTTCCCCATTTGAATGGGGAAAAATACCTTGCCTTGCATTTGAGAGAGAGAGAGTGTGTGTGTTTGTTTGTGCGTGTGCACGTGTGTGTGTGTGTATGTATGTATATATAAAATATGGTTTTTCCTCTCTCAGAATTTTTTTATACTGGTGGAACTGCGTGGATTTCAGTGGACTCGTTCCTGAATTAGGAACTGTTCCAAAGTCCACTGATGTCAAAGGAGCTTTCTCCTTCCCTGCTCTAATGAGAAGAAAATTGGGCACAAACTGTTTATAATGAGAAGGATGTTTTAAGAGGGTGTGAGCTACATTTACTGAAAGGTGCATTTAACTTGGATTATTTTCACAACCAAAAATATTCTGTGATAAAATGATCAAATCTCATTTCCCCTTTCACTAAGACCTCAGCTGCACCAATTAAAATCATTTATGTTTTGTGTGCACAAAGATGGTCCAACTGTAGCTTACACTGCTTGAAAATGTTGTTTATGGGCCTTCTTCTGTTGTTGTGGAACAGTGTATTTATGGAGATCTATAATTGCAATTTATTACTGCACAATAGCATCTTAATAAGATGCCAGAAAGGGGGTTGTTTATAAGAACTAAATCAAATCAGAGATGAGTTGATTAGCATGGATGGCCACTGAATTTGCAAAGTTCCCCTTGACAATCATTAGGGACCATTCAGTATCAGCTAGCAACACGGAGTACCTCATTTATCACTGCCAAATGCACTATGTAGACCTCTGATATGGCACTCAGAAGTACTGCTTAAATGGAAACGCCCATGGGGGTGGCTAGTATTATGCCAGGCAAGTAACATGTCCCACAAGCAAATGTAAGGACTCTGCCTACAGAGTCACATTGAATGATGCATTTCCAGATCAGCATTCTAGAAAAGCTGTGGTCATTCCTTCAGGTACCTGGTTTGAACAGTTTTCTGAAGTGGCAGTTTCTGCTCATCCAAGAGCTGGTTCTGGCTTCTGTTCACTTAGCTGTAGAGACTTGGAGTAATGCTTGTTCGGTCATTGCCTGGAATCTTTTTCAGTGGAGTGCCCCAGGGGTCGATCCCAGGGCTGGTTTTGTTCGATATCTTTATCAACAACCTGGGAGGTGGCATAGAGTGCACCCTCAGCAAGATTGCAGACGACACCAAGCTGGGGGGAGTAGTAGATATGCTGAAGGGTAGGGCTGGGATTCAGAGAGATCTAGACAGATTGGAGGATTGAGCCAAAAGAAATCTCATGAGGTTCAACAAGGCAAGTGCAAAGTCCTGCAATTAGGAGGGAACAATCCCATGTACCAGCACAGGCTGGGGGCTGGGCAGCTACTCTGCAGAAAAGGACCTGGGGATTACAGTGGACAATAAGCTGAGTATGAGCCCTTGTTTGGAAGAAGGCTAACAGCATAATGGGCTGCATCGGTAGGAGTGTTGCAGATCAAGGGAAGTGATTATTCCTCTCTGTTCAGCACTGGCGAGGACACATATGGAGTACTGTGTCCAATTTTGGGCCCCCCACTACAGAAAGGATGTGTACAAATTGGATAGAGTTCTGCGGCGGGCAACAGAAATGGTTCAGGGGCTAGGGCTCATGACTTGTGAGGAGAGGCTGTGGGAACTGGACTTATTTAGTTTGGAGAAGAGAAGACTGAGAAGGAATTTAATAGCAGCCTTCAACCACCTGAAGGGGGGTTCAAAAGAGGATAGAGGTAGACTGTTCTCAGTGGTGGCAGATGACAGAACAAGGAGCAATGGTCTCAAGTTGCAGAAAGGGAAGTGTAGGTTAGATATTAGGAAGAACTTTCTCACTAGGAGGGTAGTAAAACACTAGAACAGATAACCCAGAAGGGTTGTGGACTCTTTATCCTTGCAGGTTTTTAAGACCTGGCTAGACAAAGCCTTGGCTGGGATGATCTTGTTGGAGATGGTCCTGTTTTGAGCAGGCGGTTGGATTAGATGACCTCCTGAGGTCCCTTCCAACCCTCATTTTCTATGATTCTAATCCAGCAGTTTTTTTGATGCAAAAAAATTCAGGGGCTATAAAGTCTCCAGTACAGATGGAGTAGAAACCAGGTCATCCTTTCAGAGGGACAGATGACAAAACTGCAGGCAGGGAAGCTGCCACACTGTGGGAGTTAGTGGGAGAGAGTAATAATCCAGCACCACTGTATAATTGCACATTCGCCTGAATTGCTTTAAATCAGCTCCTTTGGCAACATCAGTCTAAGGCAGTGATTCTCTACCAGGGTGTCACAGTACCCTGAGATTTCCACTTGAAATAGGAACTTCCAATTCATCTAAGGCAGTGGTTTTCAACATGTGGCCTGCAGACACCTGGGGTCTGTCTGCAGACTGTATCTAAGGGGTCTGTGAAACATAACTGTGATCAATCAACAGTATGTGAATATAGGTTTCCCTTGCCAACCATGGTTTTGCCAACCACAGTTTTGAGTATCCACACTTAATAGTCTATATACCATTTTGGCTACCTCGGTATACAGTTCTGAGTAACCACGGTTTTCCGTGGCCGTGCATCAGCTTGCTACCTGCCATTTTCTCCATAAGCCTTTTGTCTTGCCAGCCACAGGAACTTTCAGGAACCTAACCCCAGTGGTTGGCGAGGGAAACCTGTACCCATACTTACAGTTCAAAGGGGTCTGTACCTCCATTTGAAATTTCCAAATGTCCACATCTCCATTCAAAATTTTTTAGGGATCGGCAAATGAAAAAAGGTTGAAAACCATTGATCTAAGATGTCACATAGATATTGCATTTGTCTTGTGCAGAAGCCTTTAGTTCTAGGATCTGACAGACACTCAAGTCCACTGCCCTGCTTTAAGCCCATCTCCAAGATAAAATGTATTAACCCTTCCCTCTCCAGCCATGACTCTGCGAGTCTTAAGGTTATTGCGGATCATTCCCAGGACAGAGGAACAGCAATGCAACTTGGAAGGATCACGTGTGTAAATGACTGTGCTGCTCATCACAAGAGACACCTATATATGGCTGTAGTTGTTGCAGCCTTTGGATCTTAATGCATAGCAAACATTTATCTCTGGCTGTTGAAGTGGCTGCAGCAGGTAGTTAAAATGCCTGATTTGAGTCAAGGTGTGTTCTGTTACCAAGAGAAACCTAGACTGGCTTTAGCAGGGGAGGAGCCAAACCCTCTATTAAATGCAGTTTATTTTCTATACTCATTTAATTTCTAGCTGTTATTATCTTAGTGTTGTTAAAAGTAGGGGGATGGCTGTAGACTAAGAATGCCTACCGTTTTTAAAGAAGAGGCACAGCTTGAACTCTACTTAGTACAGGGTTTCTCACGTTGTGAGCTTCATCCTGTACCTTTAAAAGTTATGGGACCAATCACATGGTCTGTGTATCACACCTGACTGGGAAGGACCAATTTTGAGGATGAGGGAGTCGCTGGCTGCATGTAAGTGCTTGACCTGGCTGTTGAGAGGAGCTAGTTAAGGCTCAGAGCAGCCACTCAGAGATCCCTTTAAGACTGAAATGTCCCACCTTTCTTAAGCAGATGGCTGCTGCTATTCCATATAGAAGTGAACTTTGAGCACAGGAGCAGAGCACTGTTAACGCTGCAGAGCAATGTTAACGCTGGTGGCTTTGCTATTGTTTGTTTAAGTCTGGCTCGGGACTTCTGCCAAAGGTTGCTGCAGTAGACCCAGCTGTAAATGGCCTGGCATTAGCCATATCACTACCTTGTGAGCCTTTGGTTTCAGAAACTGCGGTGCCTTAACCACACTAGCATGATGGGCTTCTAGGTTCAGCTGAACCTTACCTGTGAAGAAAATCTGCCTTTTACCTGCATTTCTTATACCAGGTGAGAGGGCGTCTTGGCCCTCTTGGTCTCTCTCTTAGTTTAGTGTGTATTACACATCTGCAGCACATACTTTTAGTGGTAAATAAGAGCACAGTAGGCTGATTTCACAAGTCAGGTGTTAGTATCTGCTAGTTGTTACACTGCTGAAGCCATTGTTTTTAAAATGTATGTTTCAAAGTACATTTTAAAACCATATATTCCTGTGCAACTGCAAGAACACTAGTGTTGGTAACTCGGGTTGTTCACTGTGTTTGTGGCAGTATCACTGCCCTTCATTACACCATTCAAACTCTCTTTCTGCAAGTAGCATATGAACAGCGCTTTCTTTTAACTGTTAGGAATTGGTCGCTCTGAAACTTAGTTTCTTCCCAATCTACATGCATCTCATAACAGAAATCTCTTTCGGTGCCAAAAGGGTTAAATAAAGCATATAAGTGGTTTCTTTTTTCTCCTTTGCTTTAGGTCAAAACGAATCTGGAGTTGCAGTCCACAATGGAAGAATATATTTAGTTGGTGGCTATTCGATTTGGACAAATGAGCCTTTGGCATGTATCCAGGTGAGTGATTTAGGTTCCTTTTGAAGTCTCCCCCAGTGGCTCTGCAAGGGTACTTTGAGCATAGCTGTTATTCAAAAAGGAAAATGTATTTGAAGCACAGAGAGATTAGGGATGTTTCTTATGCAGCCACCGAGCTCTCTAAAAACATGCATGGGAAATGTTTCAAGATCAGGTTCAGTACTTCTGCACATCTGCTGGTAATACAGACTGAGCAATGTCTTCTTGGACAAGATTTGGGTAAAAAAAGGGTTTCTGTATTCCCAGCTGACCTGATAAAGGTCAAAGGTAAATGCAGAAATGAGGGGATACTCTACTAATTTTTCACCTATTTCCCATTAATAGTTGCTAAAGAGAGACAGAAATAACCAGCTTTTCAAAGATCAAAATTTAGGCTGGAACTACGCAACGTAAGTCTGTGTTCATTACTTCAGAGTATGTTCAAAAGTGTCCTAAAGACCTCTGCTCTGATAAAGATGCCTGCTGCTTTTGATCCCAGCATGATTTTCTGATGTGTTAGTGTCCACCATAACAGCAGCTCTGCTTTGAATCTATGGCCCATCAGGAGATTCCCCACACAGACAACACATGGAGTTTGGTATTAAGCATGTTCATTCTTTTTAATTTTCTCCATTTTTCTGGGAGAACCAGTGTTTTTATTGTAGAACAGCTAGTGATAGTAAGTTGAGTGAGGTATGTCAGAAAGCACCAGTTGCTTGGACTTTATAGACACCTTTGTCTTGTAAATTAAACTGATGAAAAGTGTTTATTTTTGTCCTTTATTGTCTCAAAAAATTACAGTGTGCAACAAAAATGATTCTAGAGGAATAGCGTTCATTTTAATTGTTTCCATGAATTTTATTTAAGATAAATAACAAACAACCCCCTTTAAAGTTCTTAGTCAAGAGTCTCTTGAAGACAGATGTTTGCTTCTTGTTTGTTTCTGCCTACATCACATCCTTCTCCTTGAGATCAACCTAGGTAGTTTCAAGAATTAGCTTTTACAAAAACACACACACACCCCTCCCCCTGTGCGTCTCAGCAGAAGTTCAGCAACAAAACTTTTGCTAGCTCCTAGGCAAGGATTTGGGGATTTAAGCCAGAATTGAGACTGGCCCTTACATACCTAATTGGTTTTGCATGCAGCCACAAAGCTCAGTAGGCACTTAATTCAGCATGTGCTTCCATTTTGGAGCCTATATACTAAGGGTTCTGCACTTAACCCCTGCCTAGGCTTCACTGCAATTCAGATTGCAACTAGGAGGCACCTCAAGTTTGCCTAAGCCCCTGAAAAGGCACCCACCCTTAGGTTCATAGTTTCTAGGGTCAGAAGGGACCTGAACAGATCAAGTCCAACCCCCTGCCCTGGGCAGGAACGAGTGCTGGGATCATAGTACCCCAGCCAGATATCTATCCAACCTCCTCTTGAAGACCCCCAATATAGGAGAGACCACCACCTCCCTTGGAAGCCCATTCTAGAGCCTGGCAGACCTAACTGTAAAGTAATGCCTCCTGATATCAAGCCTGAACCTGCTCTCAATTAATTTTTGGCTGTTATTCCTTGTTATCCCAGGTTGTGACTGGGGGAACAGAGCCTCGCCTATTTTCCGCTGATCCCCCCTGGTGAGTTTATAGACGGCCACCAGATGCCCTCTGTCTTCTCTTGTGGAGGCTGAATAGATTCAGGCGCTTTAGTCTCTTTGTAGGGCCTGGCCATGCGAGTGGCCCTCCTCTGGACCCTCTCAATGCTAGCCACATCCCTCGTGAAGTGCGGCGCCCAGAACTGGACTCAGTACTCCAACTGCAGCCTGACCAATGTCGCATAGAGGGGAAGGATCACCTCCCTGGACCTGTTTGTGATGCATCCCTAGATGCACGACAAGGTGCAGTTAGCCTTCCTGACAGCTTCCTTGCATTGTCGGCCCATGTTCATCCTGGAGTCAACAATAACTCCAAGATCCCTTTCTGCCGCTGTGTTGACAAGAAGGGTGTTCCTCAGCCTATAGGTGTGTTACTGGTTCCTTTTCCCTAAATGCAGCACCTTGTACTCCTCTGCATTGAATCTCATCCTATTCTCATCCGCCCACCTCTGGAACCTCTCTAGATCTAGCTGGATTCTGTCCCTCCCCTCCAGCGTGGCCACTTTTCCTCTTCTTAGAAACCACTCCTTACAGCACTGAATTCATCTAAAAGAGAATGATGGTTGTGGTACTACCCACCTTGTAGCCCACAGCCTACTGGTTAGAGCACTTGCTCAACAAGTAGGAGACCAGGGTTCAGGGCCTTCCTTAAGGGAATTTAAATCTGCATCTCCCAGCAAAGTCAGGCTATGGGGTAGCCTGGGTGAGTGCCCTCTAATCCTCCTGCTGCAGCTGAGAGACTGAGCAGGTAAGGCTGCCACTTCCTTTGCACGTGCTCTGGCAGACACCACCAGGCCACAGTCCTTAGATGTGAGGTTAAGTATCAAAAGTTGCAAGACAACAGATGCCCAGTAGACAAGAATCACATGCTTAAGAGCCTGAGAGCAAGCTGGAAGTTCAGGCTCAGGGCCATATTTAGCATGGTTATTGGCTATTTAGGCACCTCTAGGCTGTCTGGCCAGCCCTTTGATATTAACCACTCACCATTCTCTGTAGAGCACCCACGTATCCCTAAAAGCCCTCGATCAACTGAATCTGAGATTATCTGAGAAGCCTACATGGGCTGTCTGAATTGCCTGCCAAAGCTAGGAGCCTAATGCTTATACAGCCATGCAGTAGGGGTGTGAGGAACTGTATGGCCCGTTCCCTAAGTCACTGAACCCGCTCTCCCAGACATGCACAGCAGGTTGTGTAATCCTGGGAATGAGGCATAAAAATCACCTCAGATCCCAATGACGGGACAGGCAGCTGCCACCATGACAGGGGCACCTACAGCTGGGAAGCATGAAGCTCCTGCTCCCTGACTGCATGCCCTGCACACATGGAAGCAGCAGCTGGGGGGAGCCAGGAGCTCCTGACTCCCTGGGCACCACTTCCATGGGCACTTGGGAGCATTAAAAAAAAAAAAAAAAAAAAAAAAAAAGGGCATGAAGCTGAGGCTCTGAGCATCATGTCCACTTCTACAGGTCCAGGGTGCCTGAGCCCAACCTTAGGGAGCTTAATGTTGCACTTAATGTGAGTCCCTTAAAAAGCACATGTGCAAGTGAAAGTCCCAGCTGAATGTCTGCTTTGTTTTTTTCAGTTCCCTGGGCACTGTAAGCCCAACATTGGAAGAGCCTCCTGGTGTATCCCATGATACAGCTGTGGTTGGGGGAGCTCACCATCTCCTGCTGCGCACACTAGTTTAAAAATGTGCCTGACACAAGCAGCAGGACATAGGGAAGCTCCCTCGTCCTCAGATGCTCATGCTGGGCACCTCTTTAAATGGGACCTGGCACCTTAAAGATCAGGGGCTGGAGGGCAAGACTCTTTAAGGTGCTGGGTCACAGGAAGCCCAGATTCTGATGCAGGCAATTAGCTGATTATCAGCATCAAGACAAGGGCAGCCCCCGGCTAGGTTTCAGACTTGGGGCTGTTCAGGTCCCAGTGACAGGGCATGCTGTATGTTCAGTTTATGGAGCCATATAAACCAGCCACAAAGATGTTTCATATATTTTGAGTAGTATGTTTGTGGCTGATTTGCCATTTTATGGCACCATAAATTCAATGAACATGTGGCATGCTGCTATTTATGGCACAATTAACACACTAACCGTGCCAGAAATAAAATGAGTGCCAGGACCTTAGGCAATGCAACAATTAAAATAGATTCCTCAGACGCTTATTTGAAGCCTTGGCGTAGTTCCCCAAACCATCCCACCCATCCCATAGGCACTTTCTATCCCTAGGACGAAACACATTGAGGAAGGGGGAAGGGAGTAGCGGAAATCACTAAACATCTAGATGACACTCAGATCATGAGCACTAAGTAGCAGGGATTTATAAATCTTGCAAGATAAAACAGATTTTTTTTTTAAATGAGCAAAGGCTTTTTGTGTTTAGTGTAATATTTTATTTTAGTGATTCATTCAGTGCCACATCTGAGAATCTTACTAGAAAAAAATTGCCCAAACTAGATTGAATAGGAACACTGACTGGAATACAGTGCATGAGATGCAATGCTAAACAGTGCTAGATCGAGTTAGTGAATGCACTCACACACTCTGGATGATCTATGGGTGCTTTGGGTTCTAATATTATTTTGGTGGCAAGCGAGAATGAGTTTGGGATCCTGCTTTCAAGTGGACATTTGTCCACATCACAAAAGCCACCCCAGAACTGGCAGCCAGCCCAGGGCAAGCTCAGGATTAGAGGTAAAAGAAATATAACAAGTGCTTTGGCAAAGCTATGTGTGTTGCCTACATCCGCTGTCAGCGGTTGGCATCATGCCTAGCTTTAGCCAATATGACTATCCCTTTTATTTTCAAATTCAGCATGCTGCTTTCTCTTTCTGAAGAAATACACTTTTCTCTCTATGTCTTCTTTTACTCTTAAGTCATTCATTCAGCCTTTCCAACTTTTTATAGAGTCCTTTTGCTCCTCTCAGTACCTCTTATTTGACAAATGATTCATACTTCATGGTAATAGTTTAG